TCCACCTTGATAGCGTGCGTTTGAAAGGCAGGGCATGTTCATGACATGCTGGACGAATGCATAGGTTTTCCGACAGATGGAGCGTAGTAGCGCGACAGCATTGGCGACATCAATCTCTCCATCGACCCTTGGTCCAGTCGATGCGGGCTGAGTTGCTAAGTTGAGTGACTGAGTTGCCGCGGCCGAAGACAGCCTCGGTCTGGACGCGCTGCAGGTCCCGAGTTTCCCGCAGGAGCTGGCACACCTGGCGCGTGGGGCGAGCGATCCCGAGGCCCAGTTCTGACGGTTAGTTCGGTTCTGGGCATGTGCCTTCCTCCGCCGCGGAAGCCACGATTGGGGCACGCCCGCGTCCGGTGATGAATCCAGGCCTGAGGATGACAAAAGCTCCAACAGTGTAAAACGCACAGCGCGGGATGCCTGACTGTTAGGGAACCGAACAGTGCGCAGCTTCTTCTACCGGCAAATTTATATTTGTTAAATACCCAGCACATGCGCCAGGGGCGTAGCCAAGCCCTCCCCATTTTAATGTGGACTCATCCGGCGACTCTATTCACTTAAGAACTGGACTGGCACAGCTTGAGGCTGAGTGCTCAAACGCTAGTATGAGAGGCCCGCATGTCCCACGGATCTCCAATCGATGCAGTGGCCCTCTGGCTGGCCTTGAAGGTCGCTGCCCAACGGACGGCTTGCGTCCTTATTGCAATCTACGGGGAGTTGTTCTGGCCCTATGGCCTCTTCAGCCTTCCAATCGGGCCCTTGATCTCTGGTCCCGAGGGGACATTGGGCCCTTTTTTGGCCTCCTCAAGCAAAGCCCGTGGGACTGGGGGACACTTGCCGACATATGGCCCACTGTTAGGCACCATGGACCCGTGACCGACACTGGGCCTAATCATTGTTTCAGGCACCCAGGCCAATGCAAACCATGGGCCCCGGCTTTGCCCTTGCTTGGGAAATGGGATCCCAGGGTTCAGACCAAGACGTAGCCAGCTGTTGAATGTTGCAATGTCTCAGGGGTTCTCAAACGGTATAAGGGGCCCTCTGTCTAATGTCTCAGAGGGCCCCAACAGTCCTATGGGCCGTGATCCTTTGTGGGACCTACAGCCAGCCGTTCTGGCCCTTATGCCATGCAATCAGGTTCTTGATTGGCGGTTTCGGCGAACCCCCGGGCTCGTTTTCGGGCCTCATTGAACACTGCTCTTGGTCGACTCGGGACCCCTTGCCAACACGGAGCCCTCTGATAGGCACTGTAGGCCCTTGATAGGTGCAGGGACCCAGCTTGGTCGCTGTTCGTTCCGAAAGTGGGCCTTCATGCAGATACCAGCACGACGCCAACTGTGCGGCACTGGCGGTGCCAGACCCAGTTGCCAGTACCAGTGCCAATGCCGATGCCAGTGCCAGTGCCAGCGCCAGACTCAGTGCCAAACCCTTATCGACTCAGGGGGTCCCCTAACGGCGCGAAGGATCCGCTGACCGGCATCTGAGGGCCCGTCCCCGCAGGTCGGACCCCTGAAGAAGACTCCGTTTGGCCGTGCCGTTAGGCCCTCCGATGGGGTCCTTGATTGTTGGCCCGGTGGGCCGTCCTGGACCCTCGGAAGCCGAAACCTAAGGAGGGGGAGGGAGGGCTTGTGCCCTTTGTGCCCTCTTCCCATCTGCATGCGCCACTGGCGCTGCATTTGGTTTAATTTATGCATGGCATGATACCTGACAAAGAAATGATAGAAATGCAGCGTTTTCAAGCATCCATGTTCCGCCCGTTCGCCTGCCAGCCGCTGATTATGACCTGGCTGTGCAGTCGCGTGTTTCTGCTGAAGGTCCTCCGCGCGGCAGATGCATTCCACGGGCGCGTGACTGCGCACTGAGCAGCCGAGTGTGGTGACAGCACGGGACATAAATGATGCGGCTGAGACAATGGCATGCAGCCGCACTGCCCACACAGTCGCGTCCTGCATACCTGAATGCTTACGGGTTCGGGTGTGCAGAAGGTCATGCTGTTTTGAAACGAAATGGATAAGCATTCCAACGGTCACTCATATTGCATGATGTTAAAAACAAGTGTACCACCTTTGGAACAAATTTCTTAAACATTATCTGGTGGACTTCCA